CCCGAACGTCAGAGAGATCCCTGCAAGGTCCCCACTTCATAATTGACTCTACCCTAGATTCGTCGGGTAATCTTCCTTCGTACGTGCAGCGATGGCCGACCACCGTGATTTCGGCTGCGCAGAGTGTCGCCTTGTGTCCCGAAAATGTTCCTCCGCTGTACTTCATTCGCTGAACCACCCGATTGAGGCCTTGAAAGTGTTCCCACACAAATCGTCGTATGCCGGAGTTGTCGGGGTGCGTCTCGAAGCCGCCGCTCGGCAGTTCGTATCGGGTCGGTGGGCCCCGAATCGGGACATCGTCGATGAAAGGAATGGTGGTGTCTGGGATCTCTGGCTGGAGGATGTGGGTGACGTTGTCGTGGAAGATCGGGACCGAATTTGTCCATCCCATGGGCAGGGTGACGAGTCGGTGGGCGCCGAATGGGGTCTGGAACGTGGTGAAGTCGCGAGATGATTTGGCGAGCCCTCGTTCGTCATAGCCGACATAGAGATCCAGAATGCCGCCGCAAGCGCGAGCTGCAAACTGTTCAGCGATCTGATCGGTATATGGAGGCACACCTGAATGCTGGATGGTGACTGCGTTCAGGGGTTCGAGGCTGTGAACGATTCGGAGTTTGGTGCCAGTGGAGGTGCTATTCGTCTTCTTGACGACTGTAAACCAACGCGATCGGTAGGACGAATTCGACGGCTCATAGACTCCAGCAGCGATCTTGGTTTTGATAAGTCGGCACACTTCGTCGTAGATGCCTGGTGGAATCGGAATGTTGCGTTGAACCCAGGGCTTGTGTTCGACCACCGGCATATTGACTGGAGGAAAGAAGTCCTCGCGGAAACGTCCGCGTTCCGAATCGTCCCAGGCGAATCCCATCTCTTGTAGACACATGAAATGGTGCATGAGCTGTCGTTCGGCCGGCCAAAGGAAGTCGTCCGAGTGGACTTTGTCGATGAGGTCGCGTCGTTCGGCTGTGTATCTGCCGGTCGGCGCGAAGGGTGGGGGGTTCGGTGTCAGTGTCGGAAGGGTAGCGAGAGGGTCACCAAGGATGTTCCGAACGATTCGGAACTTTTCGGGGAGGTCGGCCAAGACTGGTCGTGTTTTCTGTGCAACCGGTTTGTACTTGCGCTTGGCGGCGAAGATGGCGACCGGGTCGGCGATATTAGTGGAATGGAAAGAACCGGGGACGACTGAGGAAAATAAGGACGACATATCGGAATCGAGATTGTTTTTGAGATGATTTTCGGGCCCCAAATCGGAGGCCATAATGTACTTGAGACAACGATCGCGACGAGAGGGAGATGGAGAATGGAAATCTGAGGACGCTTCGATAAGTGGGAAATTGGGGGTATCATGATCGGTGGAAATGATCAGTGCAACTTCTCCTTGATCTCGGATCAATTCATCGAGTCGCGAAAACCCGCTTGTCTTCGGTGAAGGACTCGAGGGGGTCCTCGTCTGATCGTCGGAATGGTGGCTCGTCGTCCCGTGTTCGGGTCGCTGATGGTGATCGTCTGGTCTTCGTTTGAATAATTCTTGACGATACTTTCGGTGAGGATGTCGAAGGGCCGACCGAGGAGAACGTCGTAGGCGGGGTTTCGAATGATGTGGACTTGGAGGTACAGGGTGATGTCGCCGATGAGGAATGGAACGTTGCGTGCCAGACCCAAGGATCGGTCGATTTCGCCGTTCGCCGACTGCATATTGAGGACGATTTCGGGGTCGTAGATGAGCGCCAGTTCATTGCAAATGCCTTCCGACATGGCGATAACTTGTGAGCCCGGATCGATGACGCATTCGACTTCCTGCTGATGATCGACGAGGGGAACAATAGACCTTAGGGCAGACGATTCTTTAGCAACTATCAATGGCTGAGGAACCTGACCGGGCTGTAGATTCTTCAGGTACGTTTCGTACATGTCGGGGATGATGATCGCGCCAGGCGGGGGTGTTTCCGGTTGGTGCAGGACATTGACGAAGGAGGAGACGGTCGGTCGAGTCGGTGGTTCGAGATCGTCGATGGCATAGGGTAGATCGGCATCTTGGTAGAAGGTCCGAACATTGCTGGCGTCTCTGGCAGGCGATCGGCGTGCCGACGTGGCTTCCCTGACCTGCGAACGGACTTCGGCGGAGAGGGAGAGTAGTTCGCGCTGGGTAAGCGTCACCTGAGTGGCCATCGCCCTGTTGTAGACCTCGGCTGCTACCTTCTCGTCGTAGATCGGCGCCGTAGTCTTGTAGGCCGGAGCGTCCTTCTTTGCCGATGGTATCTTCGCCGGGGCTCCCATGTTGCGTTCATGTGGTGGTGCATAGGTGGCGTCCTGGGCTTTGGCGTATGGGTGGATCGGAGCATCGTCCTTGGCTGGTACCGGGGGCGGTCGCTGAGTCGGGGTGGTCGGTCGGGGTTCGGGTTCGGGAGTTTCGGTCATCGCTCGTCGTTCGGCGACCGGTGAAGGGGTAGGTGCCGAACGTCCTGTCTGCGCCATTTCGCGTGCCCTTGCGCCCCGCGTTCGGAGCGCGAATAGTTCGCGTTCGAGGCTCGCGATTCGCTGGACATCGGTGAGTTGGTAAGTCGGGGTGACATCCAGCAATGAGGGTGAATCGTGACGGGAGGCTATTGTCATCGGGTGAGTCGGCACCGCGTTTACCGTAAACATCATCTGTCTGGTCGCAAGCTGGCCTGGATTCCTGCGGTGCCATTCGTCAACTCGGTCCTTCAGGTTACTACCCGTGATTTCTCTGGGTACGAATGCCCCACTTGACAATACAACCTTCCCCTCAATATTCCTCTTGCATTTTCCGATCCGAATGTATTCGGTGACCTCGGGACAGGCGCGCATGAAGTGTTCGGGACTGCCGCAGAACATGCAGTTGTCGCCGCCTTGTCCTGGCTGTCGGGATGGTCGATCGGCTGGCCTGGACGTCCCCTGAGCTGTGATGGCCTTGACAAAGGTGTCGGTGAGCCGTTCGAACATGGTCGCCAGGTCTTCGGCCTTGATCGCGTTGGTGGGCGGCGCGGCGGGGGCTGCTCGAGAGATGTCGGTAGGGGTAGCGCTGTAGGCAGCCGTGGTGCCGTGCAAGACGAATCGGGCCGCGTCGTGGATGTCCTGGAGGTTGTAGGGGTCGTCTGGGAAATGATCGGGGAACTTGAGTTGTAGACGTTGAGAGATCCTTGCCCATAGCTCCGGTTGGAATCCTCTAGCGAAGGCGCGTCCTTGTTCGGCGACCGAGATTCGTGCCTTGCTGAGGAGAAATACCGTGATCACCAGGAATCGCCGATGATAGTCGCCGAGCTCGCTGAGGGACAAGATGCCGACCCTGCTCGTTTCGCCGACTAGTTTGTCCATATCCGATACCGACCATTTGCGTTCTTCCTCCGATCCGGGGTACAGCCTGTAGACCTCTTCGCAGAAGTCCTTGAAGGTCTTCGTGGCGTCGGTGAAAGTGGTGAGCGATTTCCAAAGCTCACAGGTGTCGACATCTAGGAATCGGCAAGCGTGTTTCTTTCTTTCTTGTTCGTCCCCTACCGCAGACCGACCGAAGTGGAAGTCCAGATCGGAGAAATATCGTCTCAATTCGCGGGGTTGATGGGGGTCAAAGGTCGGGGCCGTTCGATCTCCACGAGCGGGCATGGATGGGGTCGCCATAGTGAGAAAGTCAAAGGTGGGGGAGAAGGTATTGTTTTCTAAGGTGATCGGGGATGGAGTCGCTGGTTCGAAGGAGCGTTCTAGTGAAGTCGGTCGGATGGTCGGCGTCCAGAAGACGGGGCTGCGTGGGATTAACGGAGAGATGGAGTCGTGGAGAGATGGGATAGGAGACGGGGATGATTGTTCTAAGAGTGCAAGGTCGAGGATGGGGGAAATCGGCGGGAGTAGCGATCGGTTCGGCGACGAAGGTGGGGTTAAGAAGAAAGTGGAGTCGGGTGGTGGTGAGAGCGATGGCGAGGATTCGAGATCAAGGTAGTGATGGTGGGATAAATGTTCTGGGACTATATCGGCGTCTCCGAACAAACTTCGGTCGGCAGATGTTTCCTGAGTATTGAAGCTATCGATAACTGTTTGTCGTTCTTCGCGCTCCACTGTTGGTCGGGACGAGCGACGTAGATTCCTTGAGGTAATTTTGAATACTAACCCCTCGCGGTGGGCTCCAAAATGATACGCTAGAGGTGGCTCTAAGTGCCGAGCACAACACCAAAACAACCTCTAATGCAGGGGGTGCTGGAGCTAGTATCTAATACACAAGGAATTGTTAGTGATGACTTTAGAAATCGATGGCGTACTGAGAAACAACGGGGAGTATGAGATTATAGCGCCCGAACGGTTTCGGGACTGCGCCGAACACCGACCGAACGTTCGGTCGGTCGAGTCGGGGATTCGGTCGGTAACGAGAAGGTAGTGTCGCGACTGACAACTACGTGCTTCAAGAGCCACACGGGACTCTGACAATATACGAGGGAGGATGGGGGGTACGAGCGAAGAGACGAGTACGAACGCGAATGAGGCCGAACGACGAGGATGACAAGTTTTCGGGAGTCGATGAAGACGATTTCGATGGTTGAAACGAGTGCGAATGAGCTCTGAACTGTGGGGTGCGAAAGCTGGTTTATTCCAGAGTTGTATGTAGGTTTTTATAGTAAACAGAGCCCCTAAGTAAAATATTAAACAAGAAATGAGAGTAGATGTCGAATGGGCGCCAAGCCCCAGCGATCAGAGAAGATAAGAAGGTAGGTGAGATGTCCATATGGGTTCCAAAGGTGATAGGGTAAAAGGTAATCAGTGATGTCGAAATCCCGAACGTTCGGGATCCGTCGCCCGAGCGTAGGTAGCAGGAACAGGCGTTGGAGAGCCAATGAAAAATAAAGAAGAGGTATCGTACGACCAGGGTGGCCAAGCAATGGTGCAAGATCGCGTTTGACCGACCATGCGGAAGTCAGGAAGATAAGCGATAAGGACCGACCGACTCACGGAGGACATCGGCCGATACGGAATACTGGCTCCGATCTCGTAAACATCTATCGTAACACTCCTATGCGGTCATGGTAAGTACGTGAAGTGTGGGCGAACTGACCCAAGTGCTGCCGAACGTCCTTCGGTGGCTTGTCGTCGGTCGGGTAGGGACCGACCGTGTTCGGTAATAGTCGGCGTCTTCGGTACTTGTCTAGCGCTGTTCGGTGTCTCCCCAAAGCTTCCCGAATACCTCCCTCGGACCCTAGCGCGGGTGCATGCTCATCAACGGCCGACGCTTCCATCTCAACAGCGTCGTCATGAGCCATGGCGGTCGAGGGATCTGTGTCCTGTTCACTGAAGGGCATAGAATCGTCGATCAGCGCGACCTTGCGCCGTTCGAGGCGTTTTCGAAGCTGGAACATGGCGGAATGTTCTTCAATGCCATGTTTCTCCATTGAACGGTGGTCCGGCAAGTTGCAAGTCTGAAATCCGGCCTCAATCGTTCTGTCGCAGCTTGTGATGCAACAAATATTCCCTTCCCACGAGTGCTCAGTGCAGTACTTGGCTCGTTGGGTTGGAAGGGGTTGTTGACAATCGTGGTGAGCACAGCAAGGGCGGCCGACTGCCACCCCGTCGCAGACGACAGCACAAAGAGCATCTGATATAGTAAGATATTGTGAGAGACATACATTCTAACACACAAACGTACAGACACTGTTGTCCCTCTCCTCAGTGGCGCAGCACTGCTCGCATGCATGGTTCCACAGTTTCTGTCCCGGGCCTACCATCGCGATGTTCCAAGCCTCTAGAGCTTCACGAAGACGATCAGGGTGAGGAGTATCGCTGAGGATGAGGATATCCGATCTCTCGTGAAAGTCGCAGATGAGGCCGTGAAGGAAGAACGCGTCCCAAACAATTTCGCCGGTGAGCGCGAGACTGACAGGCCAAGAGAAGTTTTTGGGGACGCCGTGATCTAGTTCGTAGATACGGGCATTGTTCGTAGCAGAAACCCTGCAAATGATCAGTCAAATACAAATGTACATATTCGTGAGGAGAACTTACCAGGCACAAACCATTGAATTTGCGAAGCGCTCACATAATGAGGACTCGACGTACGAGTGCATTGTAACATGTATGGCATACGGGATCCCGAGATAGTATGTACGAGTGCCGTTATAGATGTAATAGTTAGGATAATAACGGGCACCGCATCCTACAAGGACGGTCAGAGTCAGCGGTGTCAACATGGTGTATGTATAGGACAACTTACGGGGGCATTTTGCAGAGTATGACCAGACAGGAAGGGGGCCGAAATCGCGCGTGAAGAGAACGGCACGATACCCGCGCAGATCTAACAACTCTTGACGTTGTGGTCCCTTTCGTCCTCCCGAACAGTGTGGATCCAGACATTTTCGTGTCGGGGGATACAAATCACGAAAGCCTACAGAAAATGAGCATCTAAAAGGGTACTACACACAACTGAAACAACGTACCGATTGTTATGATCACATTCTGTCGGGCCTTAACGGCGGTCTATTCCGACACGATCATCACAAATACCGAGCGGCCTCACAAGGTGAGGCGTACAAACAAGGTACAGATAGTAACCTTGGTCATCCACTCCCAACGGATCACCTTATCGTTGGTCGAGTATCACGGGCCTATTGCGTAGCGGGCATGGAACGCCGCCTTACAAACTACTCACACATCGGGCATTGAGCTCCTAGTCTTTCCTGGCCGGAAGGAGACTGACGGAGAAACACAAGAGTAGTCGTTATTGAGAGAGAACGACTTAGAGTATACCTACGGATACATATATGGTATTCTCACGCCCTACTTCCTAAAGTAGTATAAAAGGCCCATAGAGTAGGCTGAGGTTCTTCAGTCTATTCTCTTCGTTCTTAGGCAGTCTTCATACTGTCTACTTCGTTCGTTGTGGTCTTCCTACCACAGCACCCTCATCCACTGTAGTCTTCCTACTACAGTCTTCATTGCTATATCGCAATACACTTCTGGCCCCTGTGCTACACGTACAGTCGAGACCACCGTTCCACACATCCTCCACGAGTGACCTAGGGAAGAACCTCCTACTCTTGGGGTTACCGACGAGCAGTCGTAACACCGATCTCATGCTCAACACCATGCTTCAAAAAGAGATCTACTAGGTCTCCAGCGTCCCGACCGTCCTTCGTTGTGTTTGTACCCCACGCCGCGCTCCGGAAGGCTGCCCAACACTCGGAAATGAGCCCCTGGTCTTCTACACCGAGCGCAGCTGCACAGAAACCTCGTATCTTCTTCGGCAAGACAAGAGGAGGGCCCTTGGAGTCGGGAGACAGGTGCCATGACAGGTGCTCCTTGAGATGATCGATGAGCCGAAAAAATTGCAAGAAAGAAGCAACACTGAGGCTGTGAGTGACGTTTGGGTGGTCAACAAGGAGGCGAGAGAGGCTAGAGAGGCTAGATAGCGACATTCTCGCTATCGCTCCCTGCTACGGCGATGACGACAGATCTGTCATCCGATGAATGTCTCTTTGGTACTGTGTGGTTCTCCGAAGAAGCCTGGCACTCCCGGCCGGCCTCGGCCCCTGCTCCCATCCCAAAGTCCCAAAGTCTACGATTTTGAGACGTCTACAAGTACATAAGTTCACTGACTAATAGTCCCAAAGTCTATTGTCTAAAGGTCTATTAGACTAACCTCTCCCCGTTCAGCCGTTCCCAATATTCGGGTAACTGAAGTCCCTCCGTTTTCCGAGCAACTCCTCGTCACGGTCACGCCCAGTGGGCTCATGGAGATGCAAGGAGGTGAACGTGGCGAGGTGGTGAGAGTGCCGAACATAAGATCGAAAAATATAGGGCGAGGAGGAAGTGCTGGTACCATGGCCAGGAAGGTGACGTGACAATGAGGGAACGATGCGGTCAAGGTTCTGCAAGCACGAACCATAGGGACCGGTGTCGGGATGAGGACTCACGGAGATGCTCGTGGGCGCTGCTCACTGCCAGTCACCGCTACACCGGCCAGCGCAAACAGCTCCTTGAGGCACGTCCGAGAGCCCAGGGAAATGGTGTCGAAGCTTGCGTGGTCAGCGAGGATCGATGCGCGCGCGCCTACTAGGCCAGGCGTGGGCGGGAGGGGGCGCATGGGCATCAGATCGGCGAGGAGTGCGGAGAGTCCACAGAGACCGAGGAGGCATGGACCCCATCCGCATTCGACTGTCAATGCGTCGTCGGTCGGCGCCGGAGCACTGCCGGAGCTCCTCGACCGCCGCGGCCTCCAAAGTTCGAACCTTGCAAGGAGTGCATCCCATCCCTGCGACCACGAACGCGCCCTCGTTCTCGGGAAGGCTGCCCCCGAGCGAGCCAGTGGAAAGGGATAATCTCAAGACCACCTTCGATGGCGCCGTGTCGTGTATTCTCGTCGTGAGCGCCGGGCACAGACTTTGTTCTCTTTTGAGGCTGTCCTTCTGTATCGGGAGCGATCTTAGGATCGCGAGTCGTGTTCGTTGGCGCTCGCGTATCTTCCTCTTGTACCATGTCCACTGTTCAGGCCCTAACGATGCGTCCCCCGATATCGTCGTGAGTGTGAACTCTGGCTTCATCAGTCTGCACAGCTCCTGATCCAGGACTCGTCTGCGAAGCGATTCCATCGATCCCCAACCGAAAATTCAGCTGATTGTCAAAGGCATGCATTGATGACTTGTGATTGGCATACCGAACTCTCCTCACGCCTAGCATCTCGACAGTCATCCGCGCCGCCGGTCTACCCAAGGTCAAACGCCTCAAATACACGCTTAAGATTGACGACAGGTTTCGTGGTGTCCTGACAGTTGGCGATGTACAAAAAAAGACGAACATTGCTCGCGGAGAGAACTCCCTGGAGTGGAACGAATCTTTCTCCTTGTAAGAGCATGTTCCTGGATTGATTGTGATTTCCGTCATTGACCCGCCTTGCTGGCCAAAGCCATACCCATCCGTCTTCAATCTTGAAGCTTGACATCTACGCGCACCACAGAATACGCCAGGAACAACACATCGGTTCAATTTCAGAGACCATTGCAACGATCTGCTCTTCAATACTCAACGGCGGCACTGTTGGTAAGCAAACATCTCACGAACTCGATCCCGCTCATGATTGTCTTGCGTCCTAGATGTCACCAGGACTCTTTCGGGAGACTCAGGAGCCCGCGTCGACTTGTGTATGGTCGTTAAAGTCAGAATCCCACGAGAACCGTTCGAACCGCCTATCTCCGATACTTCATCGGCAATACCAAGTAGCCATTGTATACCAGAAACCCCAAAGGAAATGGGCATCGTTACAATTCACGAAGACGTTACAACTGCGCTAGCAACCGCCAAGGCCGTTTCATTGCAGATGCGACCTCTTTCGGATGTCCCTAACACGATTGTGGAAGGTGCAAGCTCCGCTTCTGAGGCTGCCAGCACTCTGGTCGACATTTGGACGCCTGTTTTCCAGAAGATCGACATCTTTTGTAGATTGATGGATACGGTAACAGAGGTATGTGTCGATCGTGCTCATGCGGACGATAAGATATCGACAAGTAACTTGTATCAGGTTCATCCTTATGCCAAAACGGCTTGGATCATGGTTTCAGCGGTTCAGAAGGTTCATATTTCATTGACCGTATAGAGTTGAATGACGGGACTGACGAAAAACTGTTCCTTGTAAAGATCATCAAGACGCAGATGGACCGTGATGTAAAGATCAAAAACCTGTTGAAGGCGATGGACTCTTTCTACGACATCGTGGATGACCTCCAGAGCGGGGAGAAGATCGAGCACGGGAAGATCGAGTCTAGCAAGGACGTATTGCAACGCATCGCTCAGCAGACAACAGAGTGCTGTTATTTTATCCGCGACTACGCAAAGCCCCAGAGCTTCTGTAAGCCTCGTCTGTCATTGTTTAAGGGCATTCGCTTACAATCTCCCTTTCCTGGACAGGGAAGCGAACAGGACACAATCTATTCTCCAACGTCGATGACAAGATCGACGGCTACTGCACGGTATTACGCGAGCTCAAGGAAGAATTCTATGGACGAGTGACTGTACAGACTAAGATTGTGGTCACGCAGATTCTGGATGAAGTGCAGGCATCTGGTGAGCAAAGTCGACTTATCTACTATTGGCGATTGGCTGATTTCTGGTCGTACAGCCATGCAATTTGGTCTGGACGACATCCCGTATGCTGCCGGTGCTGGCTTTCAGATGTCAAAGGGCTGCCAATCAGGAACTCGCACATCCATCCTTGATGAGATTGCGGAGTGGATCACTAGAGACGATGGTTCTCGGGTCTTCCTACTCCTTGGCACCGCAGGGACAGGTAAATCGGCAATCGCGCATACTGTCGCTCGCTATTCCAAGGCCTCCAATCGCCTTGGATCTTCGTTTTCATTTGTACGCGGCCGGGCCGACCGCGGTCCAGACAAACTGCTTTCCACTGTGGCACGTAATTTGGCTGGGTTCAATGGATCCATACGGCACGCGCTGGGCGAGGTGGTTCAACATGATCGGGAATTGAGGACCACTTCAGATATCACGAGCCAGTTCGAGAACCTGATCATGAAGCCGGTCGAGAAGCTCACAATGACCGGTCCTCTAGTCATAGTCGTCGATGCTCTGGATGAATGTTCAGACCCAACATCTCGTGAAGCGCTGCTTCTGCTGCTGGCTAACAGAACCCAAGAACTTCCTCCAAATTTCCGCATCCTCCTCACCTCTCGCTTGGAGAAAGATATCGAAACAACGTTCAGCTCCAATAACAAGATCATCGTAAAGAAGATGGATGACATTCCATCACAATCGACGAGAGACGATATCAGGTTATATATCAACAATAAGCTCGGAGACCTTGATCGTGATGACATCGATGCCGGATGCAAGAGCACGCTCGTGGACCAATCAGAGGGTTTATTCCAGTGGGCGTCCGTCGCCTGCGAATTTATCAAAGGTGTTGGCGTTCCCGGTTCCACCCCGAGGGAACGATACGACCTCCTGATCCAGGGTACGACTAGCGAAACGTGGCACCTGGATGGCCTGTATATGACGGTTTTGTCGCACTTTTTCCAAAATCAAGGCTCTTTCACGGAGAAAGTTATGGATAGGTTCAGGCTGGTTATGGCACTATTATTGAGTGCCTTCGAGCCGCTCTCCATGAAATCATTGGACATGATACTATACGCTGCCAAGGACAGAAAAACCCGATTCGATCCAAAGATCATTTTGGAATATATGGGCTCGTTGCTGAGCGGGGTCACTGGGAAGGAGCCCATCCGTCCTTTGCACACATCATTCCGCGACTTTCTATTGGATTCCTCTCGCAGTCGGAAATTCCATGTCGACACAACTGAGGCGCACAAGGACCTGACACTCGCGTCGTTGAGTATCATGAATAGCGAACTCTCGTTCAATATCTGTCATCTTGAATCCTCGTACACTCTGAACGAGGCTATCGGCGACCTTACAAATCGTATTCAAGAACATATTCCAGAGCATCTTTCGTACTCGTGTCGATTTTGGGCGAGTCATCTGCAGCGTATACCATCTGATGATCTTGACATTCGGGGAGCTGTTGCGTTGCTCCTATCCGAAAAACTCCTCTTCTGGATCGAAGTTGCTAGTCTCCTTGGTGCGGTGCATGGTGCGGTCCAAGCACTGTCTTCTCTTATGCAGTGGTGTACTGTAGGTGACCTTCCTATCTGATCCATATTGAGGGGACTCATGATATTTGTCTTGGACTAGGATGCAAATGATGATGCGCGGGAACTATTGAAGCATGCGCGCGACGCTCACGCATTCATAAACACCTTCGGAGTTCCCATCTCCCAATCGACTCCGCATATATATTTGTCTGCCCTACCCTTTTGTCCTCCAACTTCCATCATACACAATTGTTTCAGTAGCATGTTTCATGGGACCCTGAGGGTCTGCAAGGGAGCAGCTACGGGTTGGCCAACTGTGCAGCATATCATATATCGTCGGAACCAGGTCATCTCCGTGGCTTTCTCACGGGACGGGACACGGATCGTCTCGGGCTCGGACGACAAGACGATCCGGATGTGGGATTCATCAACAGGGAAAGTGGTTGGTGAGCCTCTCGAGGGACACACAGGTCCGGTCTGGTCCGTTGCTTTCTCGCGGGACGGGACCCGCATCGTCTCGGGCTCGGACGACTCGACGATCCGGATGTGGGATTCATCAACAGGGAAAGCGCTTGGTGAGCCTCTCGAGGGACACACAGGTCCGGTCTGGTCCGTTGCTTTCTCGCGGGACGGGACCCGCATCGTCTCGGGCTCGTCCGACTCGACGATCCGGATGTGGGATTCATCAACGGGGAAAGCGGTTGGTGAGCCTCTCGAGGGACACACAGATTGGGTCTGGTCCGTTGCTTTCTCGCGGGACGGGACCCGCATCGTCTCGGGCTCGTGGGACTCGACGATCCGGATGTGGGATTCATCAACAGGGAAAGCAGTTGGTGAGCCTCTCGAGGGACACACAGATTGGGTCCGGTCCGTCGCTTTCTCGCGGGACGGGACGCGGATCGTCTCGGGCTCGTCCGACAAGACGATCCGGATGTGGGATTCATCAACAGGGAAAGCGGTTGGTGAGCCTCTCGAGGGACACACAGGTCCGGTCAATTCTGTTGCTTTCTCGCGGGACGGGACCCGCATCGTCTCAGGCTCGTCCGACAAGACGATCCGGATGTGGGATTCATCAACAGGGAAAGCGGTTGGTGAGCCTCTCGAGGGACACACAGATTGGGTCCGGTCCGTCGCTTTCTCGCGGGACGGGACGCGGATCGTCTCGGGCTCGTCCGACATGACGATCCGGCTGTGGGATTCATCAACAGGGAAAGCGGTTGGTGAGCCTCTCGAGGGACACACAGATTCGGTCAACTCCGTTGCTTTCTCGCGGGACGGGACGCGGATCGTCTCGGGCTCGTCCGACAAGACGATCCGGCTGTGGGATTCATCAACAGGGAAAGCAGTTGGTGAGCCTCTCGAGGGACACACACGTCCGGTCCGGTCCGTCGCTTTCTCGCGGGACGGGACACGGATCGTCTCGGGCTCGGACGACTCGACGATCCGGCTGTGGGATTCATCAACAGGGAAAGCAGTTGGTGAGCCTCTCGAGGGACACACAGGTCCGGTCAACTCCGTTGCTTTCTCGCGGGACGGGACCCGCATCGTCTCGGGCTCGGACGACAAGACGATCCGGATGTGGGATTCAACAACAGGGAAAGCGGTTGGTGAGCCTCTCGAGGGACACACAGATTGGGTCTGGTCCGTCGCTTTCTCGCGGGACGGGACACGGATCGTCTCGGGCTCGTGCGACTCGACGATCCGGATGTGGGATTCATCAACAGGGAAAGCGGTTGGTGAGCCTCTCGAGGGACACACACGTCCGGTCAACTCCGTTGCTTTCTCGCGGGACGGGACCCGCATCGTCTCGGGCTCGGACGACAAGACGATCCGGATGTGGGATTCATCAACAGGGAAAGCAGTTGGTGAGCCTCTCGAGGGACACACAGATTGGGTCAACTCCATTGCTTTCTCGCGGGACAGGACCCGCATCGTCTCGGGCTCGTCCGACAAGACGATCCGGCTGTGGGATTCATCAACAGGGAAAGCAGTTGGTGAGCCTCTCGAGGGACACACACGTCCGGTCCGGTCCGTCGCTTTCTCGCGGGACGGGACACGGATCGTCTCGGGCTCGGACGACAAGACGATCCTGATCTGGGATTCATCACCAAAGAAATTGGTCGGTGAACATCCTCAGGGGTATCCTTACCAGGTCGAATTTCCCCTACTCTCAGAGCTTGAGCATGTATGCTCTCCAGCCACTATGTGTGACCCGCAGATAGTAACATCTGCAGTGCCCTCGTATCTAGGTGAGTTCTTGAAGCTCGTTTCTGTTATACATCCTTGTCAGTTGACAATTGCACATCTCAGCTCCCATCACATTTTCGTCACAGGCGGAACATGCACTACGCCATGTGGATGACATATTTCCTTCTGCTCCTGCAGATGGCTCCCGTGCATCCATTACACTGAGAGACGATGGGTGGGTAGTGGGTTTGAGTGATAAATTGTTGTTTTGGCTCCCCTTCGATCTTCGTGCGAAAATAAGGCTTCCAAGGATGTTGCTACGATGTGGTGTAGACATGACAGAGCTTGACCTAAGTCGGTTCGTCCATGGGCCCTCTTGGAGCGAGTGCTATCGAGTCTCTGCTGACGAGTTATGACTTTGTTGTTGTGTTTCTCATGTGCTTATACTGTGTCACCAGTGATTACAATGACTTTCGAACACTCGTTAAGTTTGGATGTATTAGATGGCATCCATTATCCTCTTGAACGGACTACTTCAGAATACAGGCGTCGCGCTCTCAATAAATTTGACTGATCCGCGGAATGCCCTGAGTGGACACATGGATATGTTATCATCCCTTGGAGCATTGACTCCCCGTGCACGAGAAGGAAAATTAGCGACGCTATGCTCGCAATGTCCACAGAGCCGGACTAGAGGTGTGTCGTGCATGTGTAAGGTATGCTGGAACGATCTGAGCGCCAGGCTCGATGCGTCGCCCTCGAGAAGACTATTGATTCTTAGGCATCGGCTGCCGACAGACGGAAAGGAATGCAACCTGGGCGGGCATAAGGGGAAAGGCGTCCATTACGCACACTGGGAGTATGTTCGTCACCCCTTACCCGTTGTACTTTTGTTGGAATATCAACTAGATGCGCCCTACTTTCCTGATCATGCACTGTATGCGTCTCCTGGATCTCCCTTCCGGGCTTCTGCCATCGACCGCTCACCAGGCAAATTTGCAGCATTTTTCGCTGGTCTCTGCCATCTGCGCAGCCATCTGCACGCCCGGCGTCGCATCGTAGTTTCGCAGTGCTCGGAACGACTTGCCGAGAAGGGAGCGACATATTTCGGACATACCAGATCGATTTAGGGCAACTATTATCCTCGGAACGGAGACGCGACGCAGTTATGTCGAATTGATTGGAGTCAGTCAATCTCGCACACATCGGATCCACTTGCGGCACCTGATTCACAGGAGACGAAGATGCGGCGCAAGCAGGCGCGTGGAATCAATTCGAGTCAGCCAGCTTGCACACAAGGAGAGAAGAAAAGAGAGTGAACATATTCCATGCCTTCAATCGCGGCGATGTGCCTGGATGGGCGCCAGAATACTTCATAGATAAGTGACGAGCAATGTGCTGTCTTATATTGGCCTATGGTCACAACGAGAAACGGTCAGTACACGGCGCAAGATGCGCGTTCAGGAAAACAGCCGAGAGGATTATCGAAGGCTGCGCTGAACCTCGTCGGTGTTTGGCTGTCAAGGCGGGCCATTATGCGGACGAGCACAGGAATTCGAAGGTCTCAAAAGGACAAAGCACGCAAAAAATGGGCACCTTTGGACGAGTGCAAGGGATGAGAGACTCTACGAGAGCCAACGAAGCGAGGGGCATGAGGAACCTGTACACACAGAGAGAAGGATGTTAGACGACTGGGGAAGATGCACATGAGTTCTACGATAGCATCCAAGGCAGTCGCGTTCAGATATTTAAGAGCGCGAGCCGCATAGAGGGACGACGAAGGGCCAATACTGTCATGAGAAGTGGCCTGCCAGGCGGAAGGTGCAGGGCAGAAACAAGCAAGCAGGAGCACATAAGAAAGTACAAAATAACACATGGGCTGGTGTTAAGTGGGTGTTGGGTCAACATTGAGGGGGCGCAAAAAGCGAGAAGATGCAGATGGCCGAGGACAAGATGTGTGATGTTATTATGAGAGAGGTGAGAGAACGCGAGGAGGTGCTTGTGGAGAGACGCCGCTTGTGCACGTCTTTCTAAGCTTTATGCATGCGTTGAAGATATACCGTTCGCATCCATCTGTAGGTCATTCTCGTATCCTCCATGTAGTATTGGTAGGCAAAAATGCACATGTATGATCCTCAAGCATTCTGCACGCTCACTTCCTTGCCCTCCGCGCCTCGAGCGGCCTGCCCTTGGATACCTCCTTGATGCTTGACTGCATGTCATGGCACCGTGTGGCGGTCTCCTCAAAGAGGGCAGTGGAGACGGAGGTGCAGTTGTGGAGGGTGGGACAATGGACGCAGGAAGGTAAGGACATGCAGACACCCTAGCATGGCAAGGGGCCGCACATCCGTATCACGCGGCCAGCCAGCCAAAAGGACGGGGAGAGTGTCGAGGTCAGCAATCATGAAACAGCGGAGCATCAAAGTGAAAACGGGTGCTCACACAGAGACTCGTGTATACCCCGAACAGCTCTTCGAAGACCGCTGTCCCAGTGCTCGGCTTGTGGACGGCCGTGCAATGCGCGAGGATCCGCGTGAGCGCGTCGGGGTCGCTCTTGCTGGACTTCGGCCGAAGGGAAGGGGACCATCCGTGTGGGCGGAGACGAGGCCTGGCAGGATGTGCATCGAAAAGGAGAGCCGGCGCCGAGAGGGTATCACATCGAGGGTTCAGCGACCGAGTGACGTTTGCGGGGAGCAAAACACGTCGGCGGGTAGCGCACGTTGGGATGGCATCATGGCAGCATCCGCCACTCGAGATATCAGAGTTCTCGCCGACACGGCGCCAGAGATCAGCTAGACCGTGTGGGCGTCGTGAACGACGACAACGAGCGGTCGAAGAAGCATGATAGCCATGGGAATCGCTTACGCTCGACCTGACCAACTCCGGCGACCGCTTTGTCTCGCTCTGCCAAACATGGCATGGCTCCTCGTTCTTCCCTGTACAGATCATCAACATTATGGCATTCCTCTTTTTTCTTTCCTTAGTCATCAGGGAAAAGCTCCATATTAAATTAACCATAGTTAAGCATAAATATAGCTATATACCATTAAGGATTTTTAGCTAACCCCCCCTCTAATTCTGAAATTATAAGATCTAATGAGAGCTAATTAAAGCTAATTTATTATATGGATTTTCGGAAAAATATCAACAAACCCAGTTCTATGATTTCTCTACTACTACTACACTTCCAATCATAGAGTATCTATAGAGCTTACTAATCAAACCAAAGTCACACCTTATTATAAATTTGCCTATTACTAGAATCAAACTAACAACCTATGCCTGCACACCCCAGACTAGTGCTCTAAGCCACTAAGCCACAAGGTCTAAACTATTTTTCTGGTAACCTAAATATGTTGATATGAATAAGGCAATCTTAATATTTCTGATTTTCTTACACATTTATCTTTTATCTATTATATATATATAAGGGTCAATGAATACCCTAAAAATCAGGGCTTTTAATATTTGAATTTAGACACCAGGCAGTAATATAGTAAACCAATAGAAAATAAAGAATACAGTAAAAATAAAATTGTAGCACTCATATGATTTGGATTTGGGATATGTAAAATTATAATTAGGTTATAGATTCTGATGGGACTGTAATAATATAGACAATGTCCCCTTAATTGCAAATTTGGTCATAAAGTTGGTTATGGATAGTATATTCTAATTAGCTTAGATTAGTATTTTGAATAATTAGATCTAATCAAGAGAGGAGGTTTTTCCAGATGGTCTCCTTTATGAACAATGCACACAATAATGCTTGGAAGAAAATTGCAGCAACTATTCAGCAAGTCTGTGCCTCTGTGACCCCTCACTTGCAACAGCATAATCAACAAGTCATGCCATGCACTAGTAAGCTCCAATCTTTTTCTCATATCTCTTGCAAAAAGTTTATCTTTCTAGAATATTAACCATCCCCATGTAATCTGTATGGAAGCAAGGTGAGCAATGTACTTATGAAGAGGGCTGCTAATGACCTGCTAATAGCATGCTGCACTGTCAGCACTTCATGCATTACAAGTTCTAACTCGCATCAATCAGCTCTGTGGTACAGGTGGGCTCAGGTGCATGTGATTTGGGAGTAAAAGAAAGTGTTTTTGGAGCATGCATTGGAATGCATGGAGTACCACTGAGGGGGTGCTTGCACAGTGGGGTTAACAGCATATCCGAAATCCCTAAGTAAGGCACAGATGTTGCCCTGATAATAAGCCCTTGTAGGCTCCTACTAGCTGCACATGGGTGCTGTCTTTTTCCTTGTGGTGCATTTGATGCTGCTCAAGTGTGCTAAGTCACAGAGGATCATACTGTCTATCCCATCTTGCAGTGCTAATATTCTTGTAAGTTTCTACAGGTGCTTGATTGTAAGTTTACCCACCTCAATGTCAATTTTCACCAATGTTGAGTGGAGATGCTCATAGTTTCTTGGCACATAGGCAGGCAATGCTGCTCACCCTTGCCCTGTCATTTTGTTCTACCATGCGTGGCAGTAGAGGTGGAACAGGCCTGTCATGAATGGCCGTGATCAATATGTATGGCATCTCTTTCTCAATATCCAACACATCATTTTTAAGCCTCTACACTACTTCTGTGTAAAGTCAGCCCAATGTTGATACTAATCCCCTTTTTCGAGTGACTCCCAACATATCTCTGAGCATTGGGACACTGAGAGGGCAAAACAGGCAGAAGCATGTTGATATGCTAGAGGTGGCTCTAAGTGCCGAGCACAACACCAAAATAACCTCTAATGCAAGGGTGCTGGAGCTAGTATCTGATGCACAAGGAATTGTTAGTTAGGACTTGAGAAAGTGAGGGTGCACTGAAGAGTAATGAGAAGGGTGAGATTAAAGCACCTGAATGGTTTTGGGACTGCACCAAACACTGACCAAACATTCAGTCAGTTAAATCAGATCGGGGAGTTGTTTGGCGATAAGAGGGTAGTGTTGCAATTGATGACTACATGCTTCAAGAGTCATATAGGACTCTGACAATATACAGGGACAGATGAAAGTATAAGTGAAGAGATGAGTATGAATGCAAATGAGGCCAAATGACAAGGTGGATGAGTTTGTGAAAGTCGGTGTAGAGAATTTTGATAGTTGAGACAAGTGCAAATGAGCTCTGAAGTGTGGGGTGCGAAAGCTGGTTTATTCCAGAGTTGTATGTAGGTTTTTATAGTAAACAGAGCCCCTAAGTAAAATATCGAACAAGAAATGAGAGTAGATGTTGAATGGGCGCCAAGCCTTAGCGATCAGAGAAGATAAGAAGGTAGGTGAGATGTCCATATGGGCTCTAAAAGTGATAAGGTGAAAGTTAATCAGTGATGGCAAAATCCCAAACATTTGGGATCCATTGCCCAAGCATAGGTAGTAGGAACAAGTGTTGGAGAACCAATGAAAATAAAGAGAAAGTAATGTACAACCAGGGTAGCCAAGTAATGGTGCAAGATTGTGTTTGACTGACCATGCGGAAGTTGGAAAGATAAGTGATAAGGACTAACCAACTCATGGAGCATATTGGCCAACACAGAATACTGGTTCTGGTCCTGTAAACACTTATTGTAACACTTCCATATAGTCATGGTAAGTACATGAAGTGTGGGCAAACTGACCCAAGTGCTGCCAAATGTCCTTTAGTAGGTTGTGGTCAGTCAGGTAGGGACTGACCATGTTTGGTGCAAGTTTGCATCTTTAGTACTCATCTAGAGCTGGTCATCTTCTCCCCAAAGCTTCCTGAATACCTTCCCTGGACCCCAGAGTAGATGCATGCTCATCAACGTCATAAGTGCTGGCCGTTTTAAGCTGCACTAGTTACCATGGTCTCTTTCAAGGCCTCTGAGACTTGTTGCTATTTCTCGGCAATGATGCCTGCTGTGCCCTTGCTGAGAATCCTGTATTGCTATTAAATCCTGCTCTTTATCTTCCTCTCATGCTTATTTTTCATTTATAGCTCATACCCTTGTCATTTTTTTCTCACTCAGTGACATTGATCATGGTACATTCTGCCACCCAACAGTACCTCTTGATGGTGCGCTCTGAGCGACACAATCAAGGCACCTAGCTGGGTCTCAGAACTCCCTTTTTCTAAAGTTAGTGCAGTGTACATGAATGTAAACTCCCATAGCCCCTGCATATGTGACTTCTACCACTGAGGTGCAGTCCATGCTTGGAACCATCCCCATTGCTGCAGCCTTGTGCTTTCAGCCATCCATTCATGTGTATATGTTCTCAAGTTGACAATTTGGGCACTGTTTGTATTGTTGCATGTGAGGCTAATGTAGGTGATTGCCGAGAACAGACTGGAGGAAGGTGGACAGAGCATACATGTTCATACTTTGGGGCATAACATGAACTATCCATATTGATCTTGTAGTGCCCATGGTAGGTTGAAGAACTAGAGTAAGCAGAGAATAAGAAGCATGACCTAGACAAAAAGCAGTGTGAATAGTATAAGTGAGGAAGGACACTCATGGTTTGATTATGCTAAAGGCACTGTGCATCAGTAAGTTAGCGCAGGAGTGGGGATGTCTAGTAATTGGTCTCTAGACTTACAAGTTGGTGTGTAGTCCCAATCTGCTATTGATGTCTAAATTAAAGTGATGGCAATTGTGAATGATTCAACAAGTGTGCATAGGAGTCAACAAATTTACAAGAGAAATGACAGGTCATGGAAGGGAGCAATAAGATTGCTCTTGGAAAGAATAGACAAAATGCAGCATTCATAATATTATTCTGGATGCCAGAGTGATGCCTCACACAGCAAGCATAGAATACTAGAAAAGTAAGAGTGAAAGTGAAGGCCTCCAGAGACTCACATATCTCCTTGGCAAAAAGTGGCCTGGTGTGTTGCAAAAACTCCTTTTATGTTATAATTCCTTATAAGGCATTACAAGGCTATAATAAATCAGTCCTATAAGAATGCATTATTGTATAAGAGTTCTCATTCCAATTTCAATGAAATGGCATTACAATAACAGGTACTGAATTGCAATGCCGTCACAATGTAACAATAAAATCGCCCTACTGGACCAATTGGCCATTACAATGCTATTGCAAGCTCATTGTAAAGGCACTGCTATAGAGTCACAAGCCATTACTATGGCATGACTATGCAGTCACAATGGCATTACAATGGTATTACAATGGCATGAGAAGTAATAGGAAATGGTTATCAAGGGCTATGAGATTACTGAGTACTACTAGGGATCCTTACTTTGACTACTGATTATTACTAATACTCATTAATCTGTAGCAAGCATTATTTTAATAGCTAGTTATACTATGACTACTAATAACTACTGGTGCTTATGAGTCATCACTAACTCATACTGATCATTGCTTCTTACTATTGATGCTATTGCTACTGCTGCTATAGATACTAATACAGATGCTACTATGGGTGCTACTATGGATGCTACTAATGCTACTACTGATGCTATTACAATTGCAATTGGTACATTACTATGACTGAGGTTCAAATGCATAACCTCTTGTATAAGAATCACCTTGTAATGTAGTGCATAACCACTCAGCCAGCTAAGCTCTTCTAGTTATGAATGTCCATGCTATTCATAAAAGTATTCAGTACTTAGCATACATAGATTCCCCCTTCTAGATATAGGCTCAGCACTATCCTTCTAAGTGCCACAAAGTGCATCTTGCATAGCAAAGAAGGGCCACATCATATACTAGCCGATGCTAGTAAGTGCAATGTCTAGCATGGTGATACACATGCCAAGCTTGTCATAATCCATTGTCTTGTCTGCCTCAAAGGGTTTGCATATATTGGAGGTAGGGGTGCATATGTGCATAGTGGGGAGCATGCATGAGTGTGGGCAATGGTCAGGCATAGACAAGAATGATAGACCAAAGCAAAAGTTCATGTACATGAGGATGTAGTGTGCAAGAACATATGCAATACATGCAGCCTATGTGCAGGTGTCCACAAATGCATGCTTGCCACAAGCATGGACTCTTGTAATAAGTGTAGGCAGCAGCAGCAGCAGTACATAAGCGACCGAAAAGATGCGGTCGAGTTTACTGAATTTCATCGAGGAGACTAGAACGTGATATACACTAGTGATGTGTTGTGATGTTGTCATTGGTGAGCTGCCGCGAAGTGTCGGAAGTGTTCGAGGAGAGAAACGACATGGGCGAAGATGGGCAAGGGCTTCGGCAGACTTCGGCGCTAGACTGATATTTCTCATGTTCCTCGCTCTGTTCCATACCAGCACCACCGACGCTTGTCCTCGTTGTCACCACGATGCCTAGGACCTCTTTCTCCGCAGCAATTTACTTGAAGGCGGTGCTTGGATGTCCTGGCGCAACCTGCGTCCGCCGTTTCTCACTTAGCCTGCTGAAGGACCTGCTGCAACCACAACATCCACGACAATTTAAGACCTATGCTCAACTTGAAGTGCCTCTGCATCACGACCTGTTTAGCTCGTTTCCGACGCTCAAAAATTCGCTGCCTATGGATCTACTTCAAGTTGGAGTCTACATTGTCTCTATCTCTGAGATCCGAGAGTGTCAGCCGGTCCGAAGTCAAGAACTGCACGACAATGTTTCAGGTGAGTTCTATTCCCTGGCAGCGCAGGTCTGACCCCCTCGGATGATGATCACATAGAGTATGTCTGTGCCACCTAGCAGTCAGCCTCATCTGAAAGCTTACGATGCTGCATGCTGTCCATGGCATATCACTGGGCAGGACTGGCATGTTTCACATTCTAATTTAAACTTGTCAGGGCGACCATGGGCTGGTTGCATGTCCTCCAAGGTGCTGCCATCCGACAATCACTCACACCTCTCTATACATCTACATTTGATAGAAAATGTCTACGTCTTTCGCGACATTGCCTGTGCAGACTATCAGAACTTAGGTATTGCGCGGCTCACTCGTCAATTCAATCGGACCTTGAGGCTCTTAGTTTCCTCTGAAGTTCATCGTGGACTGGCCGATGTTTCACATCGCTGCATGCTCCCCTAGCTGCCCACCTTCTCTACGACCGAGGTAGGCGCATTGTGAATCGTGAGCATAAGATTCTGTTCAAGCCGTCTAATCATATTTGCGCTCAACCTCCATCTTCGACAGCTATCAAGCTTCTCGACAGGTCATTCTTCGCTTGAACGATCAAAGCTTCTTCAAGGTCAACATGTCCGAGCTCAACATCATGAAGACAGGGTCGGTTCAGTCTTCGAGAATGTCGTCATCTGAGGTATAGCTGCAGACTCTGTTAATGTGAATCACAGTTGACCTTGATGTTTTCAGTCTTTAATCACCCTCTTTTCTAGCATCGAGGCACCTGTCGTCACTGCGGCAAGCTTGAAGTCGACTTGAATACGCTGTGATGGATTTCTGATATGTGCTTTGATCACAGCTCATCCTTCCTTGGCACACTGGTGGCGATGGCGAAGACGTTTTGGACTTGATCCGAATGGTCATGACAAATATCCATGGTACCGACTTCCTCGACATCCGACGAGACGCTCACATTGTGTTCAAGGCCCTGCACCGATTTTTTAGTGAGTTCAGTCGATATGGAATCCGGCCAGCCATCCTGACTGGTAGATACATCGCAGTACTACCAACGTAGGTCTGAGCATAAGAAAGCGGAGAGGGTGAGGCAGGCGGAGGCATGGCGTGGATGCAGACTGTCCCAAGTCGCACTGGGGATTATGATCTCTCACAAGGTTATGGAGATACGACGCCGTTGCAAGAGCGCCACGCCTGCTGCTCTTGTGCCTGAGAATTCCACTGCGTTCTCCGCCACCTGCTTTTCGTCTGCGCCTCTTGATATCACGATGTCCACTGCCCAAGAATCGTCTGTCTCAGTTGCTCCACCGTCGACCGCTCTCACCTCAGTCACTTTTTTCTCTGTCTCGGCGTCGTGGAAGGGTATAGCTTTGTACAGTGCTTCTGGCTCGGTTCTTGCTTCGCCTACTCCGTATGACTCGTCTTCGTTACCCTCCCCACGCCTCCAATCTCCGTCTCTCCTGCCTCTGCTTGTTCTTCTAATGGTACCCTCGTTTCCGAAGACGCCAAGCCCCCAGAGACTTTGCGCCACCCTGATCTAAAGCCCCTCGCGTTCCTCGGACGCGGTGCCTACGGCACTGTCTATCTCGCAGCCCACATCGAGTCGGGCACGCGACTCGCGGTGGAGGTGGTGCCAAAGTCGAAACCTGCAGAGATATCAGGCAGTGCGCTGATGCTTAAATCAGCGATGGATCAGGTTGTGAACGAGCAGAGGGTGATGAGGGCCGTGGATGCGAGCGGGCGAGAAGGGTTCTTGCCGTTGCGTGCGAGTCGGCACGATTCTCAGAATTTCTATTTGGTCACGGTGAGTTTAGACTGAACTTTTCTTGATATAAAGTTCACACAGCCTGTTCCTTCAGCCGTACTGTTTCAAGGGTGATCTTGCGCGGGTGATCCAATTCTGGGGCAGCGGCAAGATACCTCACTCCCTCAGCCGGTACTACGCTGCCAAGCTCGTACGTCCTGTCCCTTTTCATCAGTCCCTCGACCTGACCAAAACATCGCAGCTAAAATTATTGGAAGGGCTTCATGGCTTTGGTATCATACACAGGGACTTGAACCCTGCCAATATCCTTTTCGACGCGGAAGGTTGCCCTCTCATCGGCGACTTCGGTCTGGCTAGGATGTTTCATGTCTCCTATGACCTTGATGGTGAGGTGCTACTGCCAATGACGGGTCTGTTCGATCGGAAGGCCGACAAGCCTGCAAAGCACACCTACTTGAACTGCGGCACGACCGCATACATGTCTCCTGAGGCGCTCAAGCGTCACCTTTATTCGTACGAATCTGATCTTTGGTCGTATAGCTGCATCTTGTATGAGATGCTTACGGGTCGCGTGAGTCGCATCATCATTGTGGCCCCAAAAAGACCTGACGTATGTAAACCCTCAGGCTGCCTTTGCCAGTGCGGACGCCACACTGAGCGAAGAAGCAGCATTCAAACCCTGTGACTCCGTCGACCCGTTGACTCAGATCTTTGTCCATCTCGTGCTCAACAAGGAGCGCGCTGACAGACCGAAGCTTTCTGCGATGAAGTCGCACCCCTACTTCATATCTATGTGAGTCCCATCGTGTGATGCCCAACCTGGAATCAGGTTCTCATCAGCGATCTCCCCTCCAGTGACTGGGAGAGGATCTCAAAGAACGAGATCAAACCGTCGTGGGTCCCGCTTACCCGAAACCCATTCATGCGCTCCTACATATATCTCTCCATTGGACCTCCAACCTCCCCCAGTCAAGACCCGTCCCCGGACTTTGCTTTCACTTCTCCTGATCTATTCGATATCACTCTGCCTCTTACCAAGGAGACGGAGTCGTCTACCCCTCCCTGTGACCCCACCGCTGTCGAGTGCAGCGCCTTGCGCGGGTTCTTCAGCAAAGCGTTTGGGTGTATCAAACCCACTACCCCATCCCTATGTGTCTCGAACATCCCACCGTCCTCAGTCAAGGAGGCCCAGGCTGTTGCCCTCAATATTTGCCCTGATTTGACCAAGTGCGGCGCTGGAGGTGACTTCATCTGCACAACGTCCACACGCTCCAGGGCTGGTGATTTGTCCACTCCCTCTTCCTCCTCTCATGCCTCTGCAACCAATCTACTGGTCCGTGAGCGGCAGGCCTTGATGAAGCACAAAGCACTTCAATGCGACGAAGACCCAAACATGTTCGACAGTCTCGATCAATCTTCAACACAATTATGCCGGCCTTCTCTCCCCGCAAAGATCTCGGAGCGTACCTGTGTGCGTGTGGCGTCTATGAAGCTTCTCGATGCTAGCGCACCTAGCTCGAAAGTCGGAAGGTGGATGAAAAGGTTGCGCGCTGGATGGAAGGCGAAGAATGACTGAGCTTCCTTCTCGAGCCGTTTTGGCGTCATTCTTGCTTCTGTTTGTAAATTGAAATCAAGAAGTTTGGACATAAAAAGCGAGAGTGCAAGCGAGATGCGCCTGACCTCAACTGTACACTGTCTATCGATGGGAACGTTGAGTGCCTCCCGCCAGCTTGCACAGATAAGCCAGTACTATGAAAAACGCACGGTCATTTATGTATACAAGTAGTACGCACATTTTTCGCTCTATACTCATCCGTCGCAGTTCTCGACTGCCAGACGGTGGCTCTCTAGTCGAGCGGGCTACGGAAGATGTGCTGGTTGACAGGCTCTGATCGCTGTGGTGATCGTGATGCTTAGAAGAATCACCGAGGGTGAAAAGTGAGCGAAGGAGCTCACATGAATGCGAAATCAAAATGCACAGGATCTCCAAAGCGTGCCGGTCTGCATGCTCGTTGCTGAGTGTCAGTTGGACAGAGTCCTTGGTTACTGAGTTGCCTTTGTCCCATGAGTAGAAAGTCTCATCGTGACGCACGTTCGGAAAGTAAAGGACCCGGCACTTGAGAATCATAACTGTTATGTACATAACGGTTCATCCGAGGATAGGTATGCTTCATGGGAGTGTTGAAGGCAATTGTAACTTGAGCGCCTGGAATAGCATGTATATCGTGCGCCTGTCCGAGTTGGTCGGCTGTGCAAGCTCTTCCGCCACCTAATCAGAGGGTACGATCATATAGGCAGACACGTCTATACTCTGAAGCTGTTCAAGTCTCTCAGCGTCAAGATAGTGGAGCCAGAAACGAGCGTGTAGCCTTGTGCACCATTGCCGCATGGACACGACCGACGACTGTAGAAAACAAGGGACGATACATTGCAACATAGAAAGCAATGACATGATGAGGCATTCAGAAATCACACACAATCTGTATGAAGAGGCTCGCCGCCGCCGCCACACTGATCGGCCAGATTATTCCGTCGAAACCCATCCGGCACTGCCCCATGACCTCCTATTGAAGCCTGCGTCGTTAGCAAAGGGCTGTATCCACACATCGAGGTTAGGCGTGGGCGGGACTGGCGCGAGGCCCTGCAGAGCAAGGCCGGGCGGAGTTAGAGTCGAAGAGCGAAGTAGGGAGGAAAGAGACTAGGGAGCGAGAAAGATAGCGTGTACTACGTGCCCGTGACGCCGGAGGTGAGGTCCATTCGGTGCATCATCCAGGCCACACGTGTACAAACTGCCACAGCCCCTAGCGAGTCCCTCCATCGAGGGACGATACACGCTTGGGAACATCCCCATAGCCACGGCATCATGCATTCAGCCCTGCGCACACGCATATATGCTTCTGAATCCACAATTTGGGCATTGTTAGCGTCGTCGCATGCGAGGCTGGCGGCGCAAGTTGCAGGTGCCTGTCAAAGTTGGGCTGTAAGATGATGGAGATAGCGCATGTGTAGACGCGATGGGGCACGACGCAAGCAACAAGCATCAATTTTGCGGTGTCCGCGGTAGGCTGAATAACAGACGCGAGCAGAGAACACGAAGCGTGACCTAAGAGGACAGACGGTGAAGAACTCTGAGAAGCACAGCAGTGCAAATGGTGCACGCAAGGAAGAGAACAGAGATAGAGAGGACGCTCATGATATGATTGCGCCAAATGCACTGCACATCAGTAGGCCAGGACAAGAGGCACAGACGTTCAACAGTCGTTGTCTAAATTTGCGAGAAGGTGTGAGCAGTCCCAATTTGATGTCGACGAAACTCGAAGCGAGGCTGACTTTGAGTAAATCAACGGGTGTGCGCGGGAGTAGATTTGAAAACAAGATAGATACTAGGTCGAAGAAGGAATAAGCGTGGATGTTATCGAAAGTAACGCACAACGTGTATTTTTCGTCATATTTTAGATGCTGGAGTGATGCCCCACACAGCGAGCACGGAACACGGGAGATTGAGAGGCTCACGAAAAGACTTGCATAGTTCCCGGTCCAAGCATGTCTGGAGTACAGAGGCATTGATGATTGTCCGATCCCATGGGCGAATGATGTATGCGGGGAGTGACAAAGTAACGGCACATGACGTGCGTTGAGCATGCCTCTAGTGAGCATTTGTCCCTCGATATAACAGAGTGCTCTTCGAAGCGGCGTTGAAGATAGCGTAGACAACACGAGTGTTGTTGAGCGCAATAAGATTGAGTGGATGTCCGAGAGGGAGCATCGATGGCCGTGAGAAGCGCTCGTGACCTTCGCCCTCCGAATCTCAGGCTGCGTTCCCGTCGAGCCACGCTCACTTTCCTCCCTCCGTCTACGTCCCGCACTGCTCATTCCGAATTCCCGAGCTGACTGCTTCTGTGCACTCCTGCGAACTGCCATCCGTTCCGCCTACCAAATCTGTGTACTCCCATTCGAGCCAGTCTGTCATGATCATAATGACAGCATAGGCCGTCCCATGGAGCCGGCTCCCTTCGGGTCGACGCTTCAAACGGCACGCTCACTGTGAAAGCCATACCACATCAATCATCGCCAGAGTATCACAGCAGGTGAGGCTTGCTCATAGACGCGGCGGCGCAAGCTCTGTGAGATACGCAGGAGTCTGCGGCGACATCGTACCAGCCACGATTCTTGAGTCTGCTGCAGCCAACGACTATCAGTCGGAAGCAAACAGGTACACCGGTTCAATGTCGCAGCTCATACCAGGAGGTGCGCGCGTGTCTGTTTTTGCTCATTCCAATCTGCCATAGGGCACGAATGCCAGACGTCGGCTCTCTAGTTGCGCGCTGATAAATGCAAGGAGTGCTCGTTGGCAGGCCTCCCTCTTCTTCTCGACGAATTGGTGGGCACTCCAAGATTTCGACCCCTCCTGCGCATTCTTCGGCTCTGCACACATTGCACATGTCAACGGTGGGCCGAGTGAAGGTTTCGTGTATGTGCTGTGTTAGCGGTAGAAGATCGCGAATCAGATCACTGTGTACAATTGAACGAACTTTGTCCTGAATACACGCGGCATGCAAAAAACTAGTCTAGGTACACAGAGCAGGGAAACTTATAACCACATCGTACATAGCAGAAAGAGATGAAAGAGTCCGATCCAAACCACTACGAGAGAGAAGGACGATAACACTCGTGCCAAGAAGCACCATGAACAAATTGACTAAGGTCTAGTTGTATGAGCTGCTTTCCAATGGCAAATTGAAGCCTTGGATCAGGCCATAATCTATCGCGGTACGCGGCGGGCACCCAGAATAGTAGTTCTGATTCTGGACCCACTATCCAACCGTCGCTGTTGATGTGTCTATATGGGCGATAGTTCCATGCAGGTTGTGGCGTAGAGCTATAGAGGCCATCTTTGCGCATTGTGTGTTCCGGAAGATGTGATATGAGAATGAAGGCTGTGAGATGTTCAAGTCAGATAGGCTACTCTGTGCTCGACGAAGACAAAGTTCAACTAACTAGGATACACGGATGGAAGTTCAGATAGATATATGGGAGGCGTGTTGCTGGGGGCTGGGCGCGGCGTCATTTCTGGGCCATGGACCACATTGGTCGAGACATCTTGAATGCAGGGCGCATCCCACACCCGGATTGTGTAGTCGCCCGAGCCTGACACGATCCGCGACCCATCTGGCGAGAAAGCAACAGAGGAGATGCTTAGTGAGTGTCCCGTAAGAGGGTCACCCACTGCAGCATGCGTTTTCGCATCCCAGACCCGGATTGTGCGGTCATCTGATCCTGACACAATCCGCGACCCGTCTGGCGAGAACGCAACAGAATGAACTGGACCTCCATGTTCCTCGAAAGGGCCACCCAATGCAGCATGTGTTGCGGTATCCCAGACCCGGATTGCGCCGTCGCTCGAGCCTGACACAATCCACTTCCCGTCTGGCGAGAAAGCAACAGAATATACCTCACCTGTGTATCCCTTGAGAGGGTCGCCCACAGCAGCATGCGTCATCGTATCCCACACTCGGATTGTCCTGTCTCCCGAGCCTGACACGATCCATTTACTGTCTGACGAGAATGCAACAGAGGTAACACCTTTTGAATGTCCCTTAAGAGGGTCACCCACTGCAGCATGCGTTGTCGCATCCCAGACTCGGATTGTCCTGTCTCCCGAGCCTGACACGATCCATTTCCCGTCTGACGAGAATGCAACAGAGGTAACACCTTTTGAATGTCCCTTGAGAGGGTCGCCCACAGCAGCATGCGTCATCGTATCCCACACTCGGATTGTGTAGTCGTCCGAGCCTGACACGATCCATTTCCTGTCTGACGAGAATGCAACAGAGGTAACACCTTTTGAATGTCCCTTGAGAGGGTCGCCCACAGCAGCATGCGTCATCGTATCCCACACTCGGATTGTGTAGTCGTCCGAGCCTGACACGATCCATTTCCCGTCTGACGAGAATGCAACAGAATGGACTGAACTTGCGTGTCCCTCGAGAAGGTCTCCCACAGAAGAATGCATGGTAGAATCCCACACCCGGATTGTGCAGTCATTTGAGCCTGACACAATCCGCGACCCGTCTGGGAAGAAAGCAACAGAGGAGATGCTTAGTGAGTGTCCCTTAAGAGGGTCACCCACTGCAGCATGCGCTGTCACATCCCAGACCCGGATTGTGCAGTCATATGAGCCTGACACAATCTGCGACCCGTCTGGAGAGAATGCAACAGAACTAACCAAATTTGTGTGCCCCCTGAGAGGCTCACCCATAGCAGCATGCGTTTTCGCATCCCAGACCCGGATTGTGTGGTCACCCGATCCTGACACGATCCGCGACCCTTCTGGCGAGAAAGCAACAGAAGTGACCCTATTCGTGTGTCCCCTGAGAAGGTCACCCACAGTGGTACACGTTGCCACATCCCATACCCGAATTGTGTTGTCTTTCGAGCCTGACACGATCTGCGACCCGTCTGGTGAGAATGCAACAGATAAAACCGAGTCTGTGTGTCCCTCAAGAGGGCCGCCCACTGCAGCATGCGTCACTGTATCCCATACCCGGATTGTATTGTCGTCCGAGCCTGACACGA